CGACGACGGGCGAGGCTCCGTGGGACGCACGCGATCATCGGGCGGACGGAGCGCGGGGGCTCGGGCGCACGAGATCTGTAGGGGAAAGATGGAAACGAGGCTGGTCCTCCCAAGGCAAATATCGCCGATTTCTTCCTCCTCGTGTCGCGCGTAGACAGCGGGGTAATGGTGACGTCGGCCGTAGATACTTTAGGCCGTAGATATTTTAGGCCTGTCGGCCAGCCACGGGCCGACAGGGTTCAATCGTCCTCCATACGCCGATAAGCCTATGGGTCCAAGGACTGTCGGCCAGCCGAAGGCCGACAGAGCCCTCCGACAAGCCTGTCGGTGGGCGCCGTGCAAAGTCCAGTCGGCTCCTAGAAGGCCGATAGGTCAATGTCGGCTCTCCATTTGCTGATAGGTCAACTATCGGCAATCCAGCGCCCGGCAGACTACCACTCTTACAATTCTTTTTATCCAAATGCTATATTTGCAATTAATAATTAAAATACTATTATTTTAAAAAAAATCAGGAACTCAACAAGCATGATGTTGCAATAACGATGCTCCAATGCCTTGGACATGAGGAAATGCCACTTCTTCGTGTTACTGGCCTCATACAGCTCCCACCTCCATCCATTCTCCCGCAGTTTAGGCACCAACATACTAATCCTGAAACAATGCTCGGAGGGCGGAACACCCAAGTATTCATGTTGCCAAGCTAAAACTTGTTTCCGGCTATAATCTAGCGGCGAATTCAGTTCTGTGTCAAACACCTAGAACTCGCTAAGGTCTACCCCGCTGTCCCCATATCTAATTTCTTCCTCCTCGTGATGTCGTTTCTTGTTTTTCACTTCTCTTTCTTGCCACGTCAGTAAAATTTAATAAATAGAGAGATAATAAATAGACATAAAAACTATGGTAAAGTCTGCATTGGGAGTGCCCTGACCGAGCGTCGACGCTGGGTGACAATTCGACACGCTCATGCGAAGGCAAGCACTGCCCTGAGAAGCTAATTAACTACCGTAGTTGACTTGTTCTCAGGCAAAGAAGTGCCTATCCCATTGTAAGCTAGAGCATAGTGTTTTTATGCTTCCTCTGTCTTTTAAGTGCCAATATAATCGGCTCTATGTTATAACGTGTTCTATTTCGAACCCTCACGGCATCCTTACGTATTTATATTACCATGATATTGCTAAGGGTCCATTCGGTATATATTGGAGGTGCTAGAATTGAATTGGGTCAAATACCAATCAGCACTGCTGTTGAAGTAAGGCACAATACAAATTATGTTTATTTGAATGTCCATTGAATTGGATGTTGGAATCTTGTAGGGATGTCGAATAATAGAAAACAATAGGGAGCCAGGTCAAGGGGAAGAGCGCATCGGATGGTGGCCGAGGGGAAGGAGAGAAAGCGACACTAGATACACTGCATATGTGGAGGAGTAGTGTCTGAGGGTAAAAGTGCGTCGAGGCGATATGTCAGGAGCGAAGGTGTGTCGTCAAGGTTCCTGCATATTCAAATTATAGTGTTGACCATGAATTCTCTTTACAGCACCAATAATATAGTTGAAGTTTGAACCCTTGATCGGAGCTACGTTTTTTTATGAAACCCAGTATGAGATGTTTAAAATTGTTGTCTGCTAGAGCGTTGAACATCGATGTCATAATAATATGGACCAATTCATTGGATCAATTATCAGTTTCCTTCGGTGACAACCTTTCCCCTAGCCTCTCCCTTGGCTTTCTTTCTTAAGGATTAAATATTAACTGAGCTCATTAGGCATCGATGCATGAACATACCTTGATGCTTGATTTTTGGAACCCAACTTCACTAGTCGCATTGCAAAAAACCGATGCTCGGATCTTCTCTCTTTTTTAAAAAAAAACATTAGTTTCATAATAGACTACAATTGCTCTTATGCCACCAAGAAGGGAGCTACCAAGGTCAACTAGTCGTGTGTGGTAGGGTGATGAGGGAGAAGCACGTCTCTTTTGAGCATCCACGTCCATTCCACATGTCTCTAACCAACATGTAAAACCATTTTTCATACAACTGTTAGTGGGGTCCAAGGCATTCAAACTTTTATGTTGCTTGCTTAATTTTTAGCCCATTTGCCACAATACTCCCTCCCTCACATAATAGATAAGGTTTTAGTATGGGGCACGGGAATTAGGAAGAAGTGAAAAATGGATTTTGCATAGGAAACGAGAAGGAGAAAGATAGGCGTCTTTGGATTCATTGTTGGTGCTCACCTTGTCTTGCTAAGCAAAGTTTACAGTGTTTAGTTCCTTTATTTACTCGATTTTCCATTGCTTGCTCAAGAGAGCCAATTTGGCTCGCCTCTGTTGGCGAGGCTGGCTTTGCCGAGCGAGTCGTTCAGCCAGACGAGGCAACAAGGTGACAAGGTGAGAGATCTAAACATGCCCATTATAGGTAGCGATGTATTGTGAAAAGAAAAATGTGTATTGAAAAGGTGAAAATGACAACTAATTTAGCACATGTGTAGAAGACTAGAAAAACAAGTATCATAGGACAAAAGGAGTACAGTAATGAGGGATACAACTGTCTTAAACCAATGAGGTGCGATGAGACCTACTGTCTCCCTAGTCCATCCCAACAAAGTGTTGTTGCAGTTGTCTCCATAGTCCACCCCAACAGTGTTGTTGCAGTTCTTTTTTACTAAATCAATAAATCTTAAGCTCACCGAATAATAAAAAAGCACTAGTGTACCGAATAAGTGTCATTAATTAATTTGAGAGTTTCTTATATTAAAACAATCAAATGACATGCTTTTTTTTGAACCGTCAGCGGGGGGATTGAATCCCCACCTGAATATATATTGATATGCATCAACAACCTCGCTTTTTGGAAAAACGAGGCAAAACCCTTTCCTCCGGTTAATTTTGGAAAACCGGACTAAAACCAATATAGCACCCCGGCTCAGAGGCGAGGTTGTGGCATATCCACGAGTAAGAAAAAACAACACGCCCCAGCATAAGGGCAAATGTGGCACAACCACAAATACATCAAAGCAAGAAGAAAAGGAAAAACAAAGAGCTCTCATGAAAAGCACATAGTTGTTCACCAACTAACACCACCACCAAGCGGCAAAAACTCTGGCGATCTCCACTCCAACAGCCACCGTTAAGCTTTTAGTCAATACGACAGACAACAGTCGTGATTGCCATGTTTTGAAGCGCATCCAGGACCCAATTGACATCTGCCAACGCCCATTGATAGGAGGAAATCTCAATGGAGTGAGGGCCAACAGAAGGGGCGCGAGGACATCCAAGAGAGGGGGCCATGGTCTCGTTACCGGCATTTGGCGAGACATGGCAATCAAGGATCACGGAGAAAGACATAGTTAGGACACTGGCAATGTAGTTTGCTGGTTAGGACTTGTGCGAAATCATGAGAGAGGAGGAGGTTTGGGTCATTGAAAGATGCTACAACACAAGAGCTTCTTCGATGATGCCTCCAGGGAGGTAAATGATGCTAGAATGTAATCATCGTCAGCTAAGCAGGAGCTTAGCAAGGCTTTCGCCCGAGTCTTATGCGGAGGATAACTACATTGGTCGGGCCGACCAAGGAAGGAAGCGCAAGAGATTCTTCAGGGACGCCTTCAGGAAGTAAAACTCATCGCTGGCCCAGCCAAGAACTAAGCAGAGCTTTTGCCGAGAACCCCTTCCAACGCTCTCGCTCCAGAGTTGACATCCCAACATCGCCGCCACCACAGACACAGGTAAGGGCGACGTCGTCGCTCTACCCAAACGACGTTCTTCCCTCCACTCGAGAGGCGGAATAGGCCTTCATCAGCCATGGTCGGCCAAAGAGAGTGGCACAGGGGGAGGGCCCACGGGCATGTAGCCCCGTGGACAAACCACATGCACCACGTGCACGCCCGAAGAAGAACACCGGGCCCATAGCAGCAGCTTCACTAGAATCAGGCGTGGGGTCGCCAGAACCGATGAAGGGGATGCCCATGGTCACATAGCCCCACTGCCGCCAAGCCCGCGGCTTGACCACGCTCCCAGAGCCCAACGCAGAATCATCCAGCCGGCCATCCGCACCGGACAAGTAGCCTAAGCCAGCTTGCTGCAGCTGACGTCGCCGGCTTTGTCTGGCGCAACCGCAAGTACCACCACGCCGACCGCAGCCCGCATCGCACAAAGCTGAGCATGACCTCCCGTCGGAGGACGACCCGGCCTCCATCGCTCGCCACTGCCCACGGCAGGTGCTCCCCGACTAGATCCGAGCAAGTGGCGCCAGATCCGGCTGCTAGAGGGCCGGATCCGGTCGGAGGAGAGCCGGAGCCGCCGCCAGTCGTCGGAGACCCGGAGTCGCCTTCATCTTCCCAAACTTCCGCCAACTCCGGAGCCTCTGGTCGTAGCCCCCGACCATGCCGCCGCGTGTAGCTTGCGCTAAGCCGCGACATACCACTCCTGCTACACGAAACCACGACGCAATGTCGGTCACAGAGTGCTCTCCCTGCATGGAAGCACGCGCGAGACCCACCTAGGAGGGAGCCTTGCTGCCGCCTTCATGGGGACCTGCGCGGGCCTTGCGGCGGCGCCCTCCGACAACGGCGAAGGGAGGGAAGGGGTAGGGTTGATGCTGGGCGGCGGCTAGGGTTTGCTGCCGCCCGAGCTGCCCGTACGGGAGGACGACACGGGGAGCGAGCGGTCTGTCTCTGCAAGAGACACGCATTTATACTCGCCCTGTTCTTCAACACTACTTCAGTAGTATTTTTCAATAACGAACAACAGTGTTTTCCTCTCCCAACAAATCAGCATAAGTCAAATTTCAGCGAAGCGAACAGGGCACACTTTGACCTAGACACTTAGTGGAACCAAATATTACAGATTTGTAAGATGTTTTTTTGTATAAAAAGCAATGTTTATCTCCGTAAAAAGAACACTTTTTTCAGGAACATATAGCACACTTGCGCTACAGACTACAGTATTGCACCGAAGCTCTGAATCTCTGAAACACGAAGAGGCTGCATACATGGGTGGTTACTCCTGCCCCCCTAGCAAGGCCAGCAAAATGTCCCTGTAGCCGAAGGAGGTGTCGCCGGCGACGTCGAGGCTCACAGCGCTCCCGTACCTCGCCCTGTATTCCTCCTTGACCTGCTCCAAGTCGACCTCCGCCCGCGACACGATCACCCTCGTGAGCATGTCCTCGTACGTCCCCAGTCCCAAGATCGAGTACCTGATGACCTGCCCATCAGCAACACGCAGTCACGCACTGAACGTTAGCGCCACCATGGCAGCCATCTCGACGGTGGCGAAAGGCGGTCGTGGTCTGTTCGCCGAGCCGGCGAGCCGCGCTCTGCTTCTCCGGACGACCTACCTCTGCAAAGTGCTTTTCCGGCGACGTCAAGCACAGGACGGCGCTCCTTAGCATCCCAGCGAGCTGCTTGCCACCGCCGCCACTGCCGCCGCAATGGCTGCTGCTGATATCCTGATCAATGGACGAACACGAATGGCGAACAGCTGAAGCCTTAAGGCATATGCACAAGAATGCATGCCTGAAGATCTGAACGTACCTCGACGACGTCTGTTCCTTGGTCGTCCTTGTACTGTTGGAACGTCGCTCTGAGCTGAGGCTTGCTACGGGTGCTGATGATCCGGGCAACCTCGTCCCCGTGTAGGCGCTTCTCTCTGATGGCCTCTGACAGCTCAGCCGCCTCCAGCTTCGCGACGTCCATGTCGACATGCTCGCCGGCGTAGCGGTAGGAGCTCACAAGACGGAGCAACATCTGTAGTGTAGGTATAGCACAGGAGCAGAGACGACCCTTCTGAATTAAGTCTGAACATGTCCGGCGTGCAGCAAAAGAGACGAGAGCTTGGACTGTAAGATTCCACATTTCCACGCACGATCTTTACGTACCTTCTTGAGAGGCTCTTGGAGCGCAGGGGAAGACGCGACGTCTTCCTCGACGGAGCAGCTGAACAGCTTGCGGTAGATCTTCCTGACGGCCATGAGGTGGTCCGGGGTGGAAGCGAACGACACCTCGACCAGCACCGAGACGTAGCTCTCGTCCTTCTTCTTCACCGCCTCGTGCACTCGTGCACCAGGTTGGCGTCCCGTTCAGCCGGATCCATCGTCCACAGGATCATCGCTTTCTGAGTGAACAAAGGAAAATGGAAGAAAATGGAAAACACACCAGAAGTTCAGACTTCAGAGAACTCGATCCGCATGCCGTCGTCTGATGATAAACTGGAGCACGATGAGAGACAGGTCGTAGATATTCTAGTCCTGTCGGCCGATAAGCCTGTAGGTCTGTCGGGTCTCCAGTAGCCGATAGGTCACCGTCACCCAAAGGCCGATCGGCTACTACTCTTACAATTCTTTTTTTCCAAATGCTATATTTGCAATTAATAATTAAAATACTATTATTTTAAAAAAAATCCAGGAACTCAACAAGCATGATGTTGCAATAATGCCACTTCTTCGTGTTACTGGCCTCATACAGCTCCCACCTCCATCCATTCGTTTTGTTGAACTAAACCTTAAATTAAGGTCGTATTTGACAGTCCTGCCGTTGAGACGTTGAGTGCTAACAATCTAACAAAGATCAAAGAAGCCGCAACAACAAAGAAATAAATAAGGACGACGATATGAACCTGTCAACCAATGCAAGTATATTCGGCGACTCGGCAGTGTGACCAACGAGGAGGTAGGTTTAGGCGAAAGCAAGCATTAGGGGAATTGAACGAACTTTGCTTCTACAATAGTATAGCATAACGTTGCTCGTCTACTCAAATGCAACTTGCTTTCTGAACACCGACTTCCCAAGTGCTCTCTGCTTACGAGCTCAAGTGGGAGTGAGGTTGGAAGTTGCATAAATTGACACCGAGCGAGTCTGGTCATGATGTTCACATAATTTAATCCATCTTTCACCCTAGCTACCTAGTTAATCTAGCGTATGTTCCAATGGGTGAGGCCCCGTTTAGTTCCGAAATTTTTTGGCTTTTGGTTACTGTAGCACTTTCGTTTTTATTTGGCAAAATTGTTCAATTATGGACTATTTAGCTTAAAAAGATTAAATCTCACGATTTCTCGGCTAACTGTGTAATTAGTTTTTTTTTCGTCTACATTTAGTACTCCCACTACTACTGTAATGGACTGTTGTCCGGCGGTAATGACCTTTAGTCCCGGTTATCATGGCGGGACAACGATCCCGGGACTAAAGGTGGAACCTTGATCCCGGGTCATCGAGCCGGGATTAAAGAGGGACCTTTAGTCCCGTTGGTAACACCAACCGGGACTAAAGGCCCTCACCGAGCGAACTGGCGCACCCTTTAGTCCGGTTGGGGTTACCAAGCTGGGACTAATGAGTTCACCCTTTAGTCGGTTGGTAACCCCAAGCTGGGACTAACGGTTCCTTTTCTTTTCTTTTTTTTGTTTAATTTGTTTTTTCAGTTCAGTTACACGTATTTGTTTAATATATAATATGTTTTTATGTACGTATTCTACGTTGCTAATATAAATACACGCATGCATATAATTACATCTAATTCTCATCTTGAGCATTATTATATTGAATAAAGTATGAAACTATATATATTATAGATATATATATATATGTGTGTATATACAACACTTTCATAATCTTGTTCTCGAAAATAACGATATCAATAAACATTTAATTTACATCATTTATTCCTTAAGATCAAAGTAGAACTCGCCGTTGGGATTTAGCACTTTTTCTAGAAGATATCCTGCTATTGACTCTTGAAGCGCTTTCGGATGGTCTTTTTGCATGACCCTTCGTTTCAACCATTCAGGTCTTGCATTTGAAATAAAAGGAAAAGTATTAATACACATATATGTATATATATTCTTTTAAAAATAAATAAATATTGATATATACGTACTCACGAGGACATCTTGAGGAGTTCTTCTTATGTATTGTGATGATAAATTCACAAACGTAGTATCCACACAAGTTATTACGGTTCTGCCATAAACACCACTGCATGACGAGAAGAAGATTATTCTCATCATCTCACACGTAAATTGAAGTACGATATAGTAATTAAACACGTGGGGAAGTGTATATAGTACAACTTTATTGGTATTTCAACTACATTAAGTGGTGCCTTGCAATCCTTGCGATGTTGCCGAATAAACTCTTTCCAAACCCCAATGCGACCAATAATGTACGATCGTTAATAAATTATGGCAAAGTCTATTCAATAATAGTTGTGCGAGAGATCGAAATTACCTGGATAATATCTATCATATCTTGGTATAGTGCCCGTTCTTTTCTCAACGAGTCAAAGATTAGTAACCGACTTGAGTTTAACTCAATGACAATGAGTATCCAGTGAAAACTGCATTGGTTTATACACACACGTACATGCATATAAGTTGTATTGATATTACATAAAATGTGTAGACTACATTATTATTAACACTTACTCAAAGTTATACGGGAAAAGTATTGTTGTCTTGTCGTCTTTGCTTCACGAAGAACTTCATGATATTCCTCGTAGCGGATACCCGGTGGTCCTTGACAATAATATCGGTTTTGAATACGATATAAGGATCAATGAAGCCAACATCGGTGTCTTGTATTCTTTGGAGCTCGACATCCGGAATCTATATATAAATATAAGTTACATGTGAGGATAATTATATACACGTCGCATGGAAGTGAGTTTATTAAATAAAAGTAAGAATCACTTACAAACAAAAGGAGCTCATGATTGATTTGTCCGGGCGTCCAAGTGGAATAGTTGATGCAATTCTTGAAACTAATATGTAAGATGTCATCGCCACGGAAGTAATGATGGTCTCTAAATCGACAAAGATCCACTGCTGCTCACCCCGCCACACGCTTTGCATGTACCACTTGTTGAGCAAGTACATTTGCGTACCCAATTCATTCGAGAGCCGCGAGGTTGTACAGACTTTTGCCATATTTATAAGTCTTCCGGTATCAACTTCCGTGTTACGGATTGGAGCTTTGCCCGTCAATTGATCCAAGGTTAAACCAAAGTATCTTTAAAAAAAGCATTAAGGGCTTGAACCGACACTTCTCCGAGTTATCGGTCGATAGACTTCTATGTTGGAACCATATTCATTAGCAACAACAAGATTTTGCATTGGTTGCTTATGTTGTCCAGAAATGGGACATCCTTCCCACGATGCTCTTTTCCTTTTCTTATCGCATCATGTGACTTCGAGGGAGGCGGTCATAGTCGATAGTGGCGAAGGCTTACGAAGTTCAATCATCTTTTTCTTGTGAGCATCGACCTTACCGCCAAAGCACATCTCGTGGTATGTAAAAGTACGGCTTCTCCTTAAGCTTTGCTTGACTCTTGTTTTTGATATCTATAAAAAAATCTTTTACTTTTTGTCTTCTTCATTTGCTATTTGCTCATCGGTCTTTCAGAAGTATTTCTTGAGAAATAACTCTTTTTCTTGGGGTCTTCTTTTTGCACGGGACCTTAGGCGTCTTTGTAGTGCGTCATTTGTGGAGGGGGTGGGGCGGTGTTTGGAGATCGGCGTGGAGGCGATGAGGGCGGTGTTGGTGGAGACCGGCGTGGAGACGTTGGAGATCGTTGTGGAGGCGGTGGGGCGGTGTAGGAGTTGGAGATCGTTGTGGAGGCGATGGGGCGGTGTAGGAGTTGGAGATCGTTGTGGAGGCGATGGGGCGGTGTAGGAGTTGGCGATCGCCGTGGGGATGAAGTCGTCTCGCCCATGACTTTGTGATGAGATGGGGAATGAATGATTAGGCTAGGTGGGGAGAGACCACCGCTATAAAAACAATTTATGTGTCAATTATTTTTGAAGCCAATAGAAAATTAATGGAAAATAATATTTCATTCACTTTCATTCGTACCTAGGGTGAGGTAGGGGAAGCGGTGGCGCCCAGGGAATGATGATGAAGCGTTTGCGCCATTGAATAAATGTCTTCTCTGTTTCTCCTAGTGTCTTCTCCCCATCACCACCTTCAATGTCAAGAGGAACATTGTTGTAACCTTTGAGCACTCTATCGACCGAGGCGCTAAAGCATATCCGGGTTGAATAAGCGATCCATGGATTCTTGGTGTCTTCGTTCGGTCTATTGGAGATACAACCCGACAGCCACCATGATTGATGCATTACCATCCGGAATGTGCAGCTCACATTTTGTTAGAGGCTCGGTAATGTCATCAACGAGGGAAGCGCAACCAGCGTCGTCTTGAATAAGCTGGCAGCTCCGTAGAAGCACAAGCGCTTTTCATCGACCAACGGGGCTAATGGTGACTCGGCGTTGATTGCGATTGCATTTGACTCATTGCTAGCTGCACTTGCCTCTTGATCTCCTCCTGCATTCTTGCCTCAAGAGATTTTTCTCGTTCACGTGATTCAAGCAATGCTTGTCGTGACTCATCAACAAATTGCTCCAATGCACGAATTAGATTACGCCTCCTCATCCTTCTTTCTCTGGCGGCTTCAGAGGTATCCTTGTCTGCTTTGGGAATGCGTGTAGCCACGGAACCGCCCCATAGCCTCTTGTTCGACCACCGTGTTCGGGATTCTCTAGGGCATATGTCAATTCATCCTTCTCTCTGTTGGGCTTGAAAACACCACTATCAAACTTCTTCCCTAGCACGAGCTAGTCTCGTGTTGCTCTCTCAATTTTTTGGCCGAAAATTAGCTTGCGATTATCTGGGTCTAGGCTTCCCCATGAGCGTAGAACCAATTCTTTAGCGTTGAGGCCGGTTCTTTTCTATTGTTTCAGGTATGATTCCTTGGCGGTAATCTACGCTTCTAGGTTACGCCACTTGGGAATAGCACTCCTATAACCACCGATCCCATGCGATGATGGTATTGCTTACATCGGGCATTCTCGCGATTCCTCATCACACGTTCCTCCTTTGTCTTGAGATGTCTTGTATTCTCTGAAGGCATCCCAATGGGACTCCAACTTGACAAACGCCTTAGCATTGAAATTCGGCGTAGCATTCTTCAAGATAAACTTTTTA